ATATAATCTTTTTTATATAAATGTATCAAAAATATAGATGCTCGCGGCCAACCCCCAGTAAGAATACAATTCAGTTACTAGATTTGTTAGCTCATAAGGAGACATCAAATATTAAACACAATTTTTTTATTTTCATCGTAAAAGTCTAAACGTTTTTCAATGAAAAAATCTTCAAACAACAAATTTTTTATAAATGAAAAAAAAAAAAATCTTAAAATGTTATAAAATTGAATGAATTAAACTCAAATTGAAATATAAGGAATGAAAAGAAAATTTAGTTAACATAAAGTTTTTTCTTATTCTGAAGTGAAATTGTCCTAAATGCTTCTACGTAACAAACATCTCGTCACAGATTATTTGTAATATGTTATTGATTTGGCCAAGAGTTTAAGAAAGACAAGAAATAAAAAACAAAATAAAGCAAAGCAGAAAAATAAAAAAAAAAAAAACAAATATTTACTTAAACGGAAACCGGAAGCTTTACAACCGCAAAAAAAAATTCGTAGTATCACCTGAGAACATAAATTACAAACTTTCATATTTCTCAATGCGTTCGTGTATCTGCTTAAACCGGTTTTGTTAAAAGCCTTTTGTTTTCTTCTTCTTCGAGGAAGCATTTATGGATTTAGGGAATGCCGTTCCTAAATCCATAAATGCCACGAATGCTATCCAGCCCCGAAAGGCGTAGAGTAATTTACGTTCCATTTTCGTGTGGTACGGCGTTTTTGCGGCTTTTCCTTTCTCGTTGCAGATATCACAGAACAAGGTTATTGATCTTAACTGTCAAGCTCTTGTATGTCACTCAAACGCTTAAGCTTGAGTAGCGTTAGTACAAAATAAGTACAAAGAATATGAATACTTGTGATATGAATCTATGTACGTGCGCGTGTAAAAGGATATGTTTGCTTTATGGGAATAGGTAAAATTTTTTTTTATTCTCTTTTTACACTTCTTTTTTATTATTTCATAGTTCAGACGATTTTTTAATGCAACGACGATCTGAACCGAAAAGTAAGAATCTCTGAAATTTACATATCAAGCAAAATTATTGCATTGACCTTATTTAGATCACTTTCCCCGATATGTACACAAACGCTTGCTGCAGCCATCCTTTATATGATATAGAGGCGGAACGTGTGGCGACAAATGCACTAGGAATACGTAAAGCGGCCCAAAGGAGATTAAATTATGAACTGGGCATTCCTATGGAACAAATTAGACCAGAACATTTTCATTATTTAACACGAATCCATTACAAGCATACGGGCGATAGTGTGTGGGGTGAACACGAAATCCACTATATTTTATTTCTGCAGCAAGATGTAGATTTAAATCCCAATTTGAATGAGGTCAGCGAAATACGTTACATTAAGCGAAACAACATCGATGAGGAAATTAGAAAGCTACAAGCACCTTTGACTCCGTGGTTTGAACTGATATTAAAAGAACGCTTAAAGATCTGGTGGGATAATTTAAAAAATCTAAATAAATTCGAAGAGCATCATGTTATTCAACGTTTTTTGTAAAACGCAAAAAGGAATAAAAAAGAAAATATGTATATATATATATATATGGCATTGAGCTGAGACCGACTGTCTTTTTTTTTTTTTTTAATTAATGGCTTTTCAGGATTTGCAAAAGTCTTAAGAAACTGTAAACGTAAAAATCCATGCTTTTGTATAAGTACGATATAACATGTAAAAAACTTGTGCATCATTAAGGCAAAATTGAGATATAATCAAGATAATTGGAAATGGAAGACCTACGTTGGTTTTAGACAATATTTCAACTTTGAATTTTTATTGAGATTGTGTTGTGAATTTCGAAATTCAAATAGTTGATAAACTTAACACAATTGCCCTGCAGCGAGTTCAGTAAAAAGAGCGCAAGCTGAACTGTATGTTTATCTAAACGAAACAAAAGTGTTAAATTGCTTATTCTCAGATCTACGGGGTCAAAAAGATTCACTTGTAAATTTTCAGTTATACAGCTAGTTCTAAAAATTGTAATTAATCACAAACAACTTTATGCAGACGAAAGTAAGGTTAGAAATATTTTGCAACAGATATAATTCGACATATTTTTTATGATGACCGGGAAGTGATAAAATATGCTTTTTATAGCTTCATTTTGTTTCTTTTAACGAATTCGCTTTCGTAAATATCGCAAGAGTTATTCATCGCCTTGATGGATATTAATACATAAACAACTAGTTTTATATAGTTTTTCCATTTTATTAACAAAATAAATGTTTACAATATTTGTTTTGAAATTCCTATTTGTTTAATTAGTGAACCTTCATTTATATTTCTATATATATTTGTATATAACAATTTGTTTTTTAAGGCGTGACGGTATGTAAAACGCGTGCTTATGCAGATATATATGTTTATATGAACCCTTTACTAACTGCTATTCAAATACACAGATTAATAAAAAATATATACGTGTAACCATATTTCTATATATGTTTATAAGTGATCACAATTTCATTCTTAAGATCATGCAACAAGATAGTATAATATAAAAAATGTTAATTTTTTTTTTTGTATAAATATGGACGATATATATATATATATATATTAATATGTAGACTTCAAGGCACACACATTTGTATAGTTATATAAATAATCAAATATGCGAAAAGTGAAATTTATATATTCATATATAGAGTATATATAGAAGTACGCTTACTATTAGAACACATCAAAAAATGTAAAGAATATGTATCTTTGTATCTATAATGTATTATGTTTAAATAGAAAAATACAAATAAATATATACATAAATTAATAAAAACATATTTAGAAAAAAAAAAAAAAAAAAGGTAGGCAAAGCTTCGCATAAAAAAGCAAAAAATAAATAAATAAAAAAAGCGTAAATAAAGCCAAGAGAGTAGCAAAATATTTAATTTAAATTAATAACTGATTGAATTTTAATTTATTTAATGATGATTATAAACTTTTCTGGCAAGTCCATTAGACTTTTAATTCAGTTTAGTTTCTTCTCACTTTCAGAACAACTTGTACAACTTAATGATTTATAATCTCCCACTCTCCGTATGCAACTTCACTTTAATTCAATCTATGCTGAACGTTTAATTCACTTAATTCTCTTTGCGAAAGTTAAATAAATAAATCTTTATCAAATCGGTTTCTCATATTAAGCAAAGTGAAATTTCGTTTAAAGATTCACTTTCTATTTATAATGATATAGGTAAATATCGCTTTGAATCGTATTTTAGTTAAATTAATTCAAAGCGTCGTTAAAAAAATCAATTCGTGGAGGTAAAGCTGATGCCGTTAAAGGAGTAACAAATAATGGTTGCTGTTAATCATGAGCGTATTTTTAAGGCACTTTTTTTACTCATCTTTCTTTCGTTATATACTGATTTGTTTTGTTTTGCTTCATTTCTTTAACAAAACTAATATGTAGTTTGGCACTTAGTGTAATTGTTCAATGTTAATTTTATACTAAAGCATCACCGTTATTGTTTCAGAGTGTTCATCACGTTGTAAGCTTTCGAAATTTAAGAGAGACCGAAGAGTTTTAAAGCGTTAAAAGCTGTAGCTAAAGCCACTTCGTCCGGCGTCTTCTTCATAAAGGCTGCTATGGTATCAAATAAAGGAACTTCAACAGTACAAAGCGAAAAAAATACTGGTGGGTATGCGAGATTCGACCCCTGCCGAATATAATTTTCTTCTTTGTTTTTTTCAAGATGTTTAATTGCGTATAGATTTTATAGTTCTTCTCCCAATTATTTCATATAAAACTCGCTTTTGCAATTTAAGGTAAAAATGTTTACTGCAATGCTATTTTCATCTAAACATATATATATATATTTTTTTTTGGTATGTTGAATTGAGATGGCCTAAATAAACGTATATATATAGTGCATGTAGTTATACAAAATATTATTCATCTGAGCATAGACAGTATTTCTTTTTTTATATTTTCTTTCGATATTTTGTACATTTTTTTTCTTAATTATTCATTTCGTACAACTTCTATGTGAACTTGTAAAACTGTTTTGATTTTTCGTTAAAAGCCGTTAGCTGGTCTTTTCCTTTACAAGGTTTATAAAAAAAAGTAGCATGTGTTGAGAATAGAGAGAGCACAGAGTTGTTTTCATCAAATTGCAACGCTTCGATAGATGAGAAATTTTCACCTCAATTCTTCTTAACACTCCTGTTAAATGAGAATTTGAGGATTATTCAGTTAGAACGTTTGCATTATCAGCTGGTTTCCAGCGATATTAAGTTGAATTAGTTTAAAGAAACCCAATTGCGCGAAAATTTATTTGATATTCCAATTTAAGAAGAACTCACGCCTTTAGCACTCTCAGGGATTTTATTTGAATTGGTAATTTATTTATTGATATATATTATAAAAAATTTACGTTATTTAAGTTTTCAATCCGGGCGAATCTTCAAGAAATTGTTAAAGAATTTGTGATATCACCGAGTTACTATAATCAATAGTTTATATTAGTAAATGTTTTGCTTGTTTCATTTGTCGGCACAAAATGGCGAATTGAAAAGAAAACATATAAAATTGTTTACAAATCAAAAGTGGCACAAAGGTACATCCTTATCTTTATTTAAGGTTAAGGCATCCACGCCTTCGGCCGCGGCGTTTTCTGTATCGTTCTCGTCTTGAACGAATTGACTACGAGTAAATTTTCTTTTTTCAAGTTAATTCCAGTTCCAAGGGGAAAGCTGTCATTAGGGATCGGTTATAGACATTCGAAACTTTATTTGCTGTGATTCCGTTAGGGCTAATTAAACAACTTTGACGTTGTAATACTCAATGAAGAGAGTACTGTCCTTTTGGGGAAAAACATTTACAGAATCTAAGCCCCAAAAGGAGGTGATACAAGGAATCAAAAAATTTTTTTTTAAATAAATTTTTAATCGAAATATGCACATTTTATAAACTGAATCAAATCTGCTATTTCCATAACTGTGAACATAATGAAGAGTTATTATTCTTCGATTAGAAATTGGACTGAATCCGTGTCGATAGGATTTACGTGAGTTTATATTTATTAACAATCAAAATAGATAAACTCTTGATTCATTGGGATTTGGATAGAAGATAGTGTCGGTCGGCTGAGTAACTGTCAGCAGATTTAATCAAAATTTCTTTGCCTCGAGTCTTCCTATGGCAAATAGTTTACATTTTTAGTATTTGATGATAAAAATTGATCAAAATTAACGACTTAAGACATAAATTTATTGTATCGAATTTGGCCAAATTTGTATCAAATTCCGTATCGCCTCATATAAAGGTTCTCATGAAAAGAAAGTCTTTACTGGACTTTATGACAAAGATCGGGAAAGAATTGGATTAGATGAAGTCGTCTGGCTTTATTCGGCTATATTGTTTTAACGAGCTTTTCTTTGTGACTAAAATAGACTTTATTAAAAATATTTAAATAAAAACTAGGTAAATACATATATACATTTATATACACTTGAAAGCGCATGATTTAATTCACAAAAACACGATTCGTCACATCAATTTTCAACAAGTTTTTATTCATATTTCCAACCATTATTTGCCGTAATGTAAGGGGGCCGCTGTTAAATATACTTTTTGATCGATCCATTTGCTCAAATCGACTTCTCGGATATTAGAACATGAGACAACCGGATTCCTAGAGTAGAAATCAGATACATTTTCCGAATAGTTTTTTTTAATTAAAATTTTCGCAACACTTACGAATTCGAAACTTGTAAGAAAGCCTTGGGTTGCATGGATTCGATGCTGTTACCGTTGTCGCACAACAATCGCGCCATACTTGCTTTGCGTATTTCCGCCAATTGATCTTAAGTAACAAAATGTAGCATTGAAAAAAAGCACAAAAAAAAAAAGGAACGTCTCCCGAAAGTACCTGGTGTAAAACCGGCATATTTATCTCCATTCTCGTAGAAGAAACGATCACCCACACGCGTACGATAGAATTGCTCCGTTAAGAGGCATAAAAAGGTTGGGCCTGCCAATGCGCCGATCACGTGTCTTTCTACTGAGCCACCCACGGTCACATCAACATCTTCGTGACTGGCGTATAAAGTTTTTAGTTTCTCAACAGTCTAATGTGAAATGACATTAAAAGTAAATTGTGCATAAACTTGTTTGCTAGTAAATGACATTACTTCGACAGCAATTAGGTCAGTAAAGTCTTCCCAATTGTTTGCTCGTCTTAAGCCACAAAATTCCCTATAATCATTGTAAGATGCTAAACCATGGTCACGATTGCGTTGTATGTCAATGGCTCTCAAGTCACTGCCGAACGGTCTGTTGCGCCTGAATAAATAGTGTTTTATCTGCAAATTAACAAAACAGAAAAAAAAAAAAATTGCTTTAGCACATGCCGTGCTCGTATATGTGTGTGTAAAAGTACTTCTCTATCAAAGTTGATGTCAGTTAGTTCTTGAGGCTGGGTTGCATGGCCACGCGTTAATGAATCAAAATTGTCACCAAGTTCAATTATACCTGGACGATTGAACCAATCGCTCAACCGCAAAGCGCCGGCAACGGATCTTATTTCTGAAATCAAACTGAAAAGAAAAAAACAAATAAAGAAATAATATTCACCATAAGGCGAATCTTTGACACCCACCGCCATTCTCGAATATAAAATATTCAAAAGCATTTTATTATCAATGCTGCGCGTTTTAGTTTGACGAGCGCTTAAGTGTTTTTAAGTGCAGTTTAAAAGTTTAGGTTTTACGCCAGCATTTAAACAAGGAGTGTGATCATCAATTAAGTGCCATCTATATATGTTCCAAGAATTTACATATTAACATATTTTCTAACCTACAACGGATGACAATGACATTAAACAATTAAATCACAGGAACAAACGGAGGGACAGCTCTAAACAAGTTCAAAGTCCCAAGCTGGTGACGGGCATACATATGCATATTGGGAACACTGGTGCACATTTCTTGTTATGGCAAACAAGAATACGAATTTAGTATACCCCAAGCCTTTGGTGGTATATGCGCACAAGCAAATAAGAGATTGAAACAGGCGCGGCAAACTAAGCGGTGTTAATGTTCGTTGATTGCGCAACAGGCAGTTATGCAAGCAACGAACGATATAACGGTTTTGTGGTTCATTAAATAAAATTCAAATACTTACTCTAATCTTCCTTCAATCTGTGAATGGAAATATCGAAAAGCAGCAGTAGCATGACCATTTAATACGCTTGGATCTATGCTGGGATCATAGTCGTTAATATGAGTAGTTTTTGGTGCGGAATAAATCAAGCGATTCTTAAGCATATTTTCGTAGCCTAAGAAAATAGGAAGCCATTCATAATAGCTGATGTGTGCATATTGAGCAATGTTGATTTTTCGAGCCTCTTGGAACAGTGTGCGATCATCCCAATGCGGGTTTAATTTAGCTAAACCATCGGCGATCCGATTGTGTTCTCTAAGCAAAATCGTATGCAACATTGCTAGCCCGGGATTTTGATTAACGCGTATATCGCCTGCGCGATAGCAAACCTCAGTCAAATCAGTAGCATCGCAATCTGCGGTGACGTTTTGGGACGATGGCAACCATTCCGCTCCGTTTCTTTCTTCTACTATCATGCGACCTCCACGGAATTCACGAATTTGACTATTCTGTTGTATTGAACTTCCGTACACAAGCGATAAATCCATATAAGATGTGACCGTCGTCAGCTGTTCAGCTTGTTGCTGCCTATCTGGGCAGTTTGCATCCAAATCGGTTAAGGTCCGAACAAAATTCAGACACTGAATGCCAACTTGAGAATATGCGGGATCATTGGGTGGCACCAAAATGGCGAAGCAGGTCTTAGGAAGCAAATCGTTTGAAATTAAAAGTCCATCATCGGTGCAACAGCGTGTCGGATGCTTCCCTATTAGAAAAAAGGAATTTTTTACAGTAATTAAGTTTATACTTCGCATCGAAATACTCATAGACTTCTTGAACGTCTAATCTCTAGACACACCCGATGATGTACTCGAATTTTTAATAGTTAGAATATAATTTTCAGAGTTAAGGACCGCAATTTTCTAAAGCAAAATCTGAAAAGTAGATTTAAAAAAAATGTCATGGTCTGTCTGTCTGTTCTTAAAATTTTCTGAATTGTAAGAACTGAAACAGGCAACTGAAGTCTGAGAGATATCTTAAATTCCTACGACATTTAAAGGTAGACCTGATCTGTCGGCAAATATATTTACGTTAAGACAAACACTGGAGCCTCCTCTAACAAAGCTCGAAACTTTCAAACTATGTATAGATATGGATGCGAAATTAGATATTTACTCAATATTCAAATAATTCCCTCCCAGGCCCTGCTTCCTACTCAGTCTGTCAGCCTAAAAAAAAAAAAAATCGAAGATAATAGGCATTCAAAGACACAAGACACAAAACGAATAAAATTATGAAATAGGTTAGAAAGAAAATCGTATCCTACTTGACTGTGTGCCTCCAGCTTGCATAGACATATCGTGCGTTATCACTTGGCCCCATTGCATGTTAACTAATGTAAACTGTGGATCTGGTACATCCATTTCTCCAAACACGACTAAAGAAATCAACCGTGCATTCGGCAATTCATCTCCAGTTATTGACCTGGTTGGGGCTGAAACTCCATCAGCGTATTTAGGCGCCAGTAAACGTCCATATCTTGTGTTGGCCATACCCAACTGTGGCTGTTCCAGATGATTACAGGATCCATCCATGCTGCGGTATTGAGACTTTGGACAAGCGGGCGGAGGCACAGCGCATGAAGCTTGTCCGGCTCGGGGATAACCGGGACCATACATGGCTGGCATAAATGGATTACTTGGTGCAGGCGATGTATTCACGAAAACAGTAGGTATGGCATTCCTGTGCGGAAATGATATGCATACAATATTAACTTAATATGTGACGGTATGTATACTCTAAGTGATCAACTAACTCTATATGACTTGGGAATACATCGATTTCGGGTTTACTATGAATTATGCTATAGCCACTGGATGATATTTTTTGCACATATGATCGGCACGATGGTGTTGCGAGTAACAAGAAAAGACAAACTGCCGATCCGTGAATCATCTGAAAATAAATTCAATTATATTTTATTTCATTTCAACGACATTCAAGATATCTAAGGAATGATGATTCAAAAAACAGTGACATTCTGTCGGTGAGATGTAACGTCTGATCTTATTAACTTGTTATTTGTTTATTTAAATTCATAAAATTCACAAAATTAACATCTGATCAATTAAAACGAGCATAACATTTGAAAATTCGTCTATAACTTAAGTGTTGCACTTAAATGTGTGCGAAATTGTTATAGACCACAATGGCAAAATAGAAACATAGAAACATGTATGGTAACTTGTTTGGGCATATGTATCGGGTAAAAAATAAAAATTAAAATAAATATAAAAAACCTATAACGATAAATGATCTCACCTTTCAAAGCATGTTTAAAATTTTGCTTTTTTTTTTTTTTTTTTTTTTTTTTTTTAAATTTATAATATATTGTTAACGTCTACAAAATGCTACGAAACGGTAACAAAGTATTACGTTGACCGCCATTGCACGGTCTATAACGAAAACAAGCCATCACATCGTTAATTTTTGCTGACACTGCATTTTCTAATGCGCGACGTCTAACTTTGCTGCTAACTTGCAATCGAACGTCGAAAATAACATTGCATCTCGTGTCGTGTAGGTATACAAAAAATCGAATCTCTAGATGGATGCGAAAGAAATAAATGTTAGAGAGGACAAATGTTAACGTGCGATCATCTGAAAACTAGAGCAATTTAAGTACACCTGACGACTACCACCACATGTGACCCCAATTTCCGATAATGTGAAAAATCATTTGAAAAAAAAAAAAAGTTTTTTTAATTGAATATCTCTAAGTGTGTATGTATGTACACGTTAAGTGTTCGAGTTTCATTGATTTTTATATATATAATTAAAGATTTTCTGCTCGCTTTTCCTTTTTCTCTCATTTTCTTACATCATCTTATAAGGAATGCAAATGGTGCCTTAAGTCATATAAAAACTTGTTCGGCGTAGAAAGGAGCAAGTGAAGCAATAATGAGTTGTCGCTGTATGTTGTAATTTGCATAGGGTAGAGACTGATACATTTATTGGATGCTCGTGTAACTAGGCTTTTCTTCAATTTAGAGCAATGGAGATCAGTAAGTAATGGTTATTAAAAAATTCAATCCGAGTTATTATATATGCAAATTTCCTATTTATACCAACTACCCAGAGATGGGGGTATACTCATTTCATCATAATGTCTGAAACACTCAAGACGAAGCTTTAGAGGCCCTTTACATGCTTGACCGTAGCGAAATTTGAATCGATTAAGCCGTGTCTGTCCGTCTCGATGTCTGTGTGATGTGTGTTGTTGACACTCTCCTGATCGCAACAATTACAAAGATTACAAATTGAAAGTTTCTGCACGCAGCTTGGTATTGAAAATGGGCCAATTACGCTAGAGCTTACGACACTGCGGACATTGAACGCATTTCCATTTCTCTGCGCAAGAAGTTGTGGGTGTTTTACCCATTACTCATAAATTACGGAAAATGGCGGAAATTTTCTGCACTTACTTTATGAATAACTCTACTATCAGTGGGCAAAAATGGAAAGGATCGACCATGCCCAAACAAAGTTAAAAATGATTAAATTTTTCGTTTTTCCCCGTTTTTTAGGATTGTATGCTTACTAATATGCTTACGGCAAACAGGACAGAATGTTTGAAATTATTTATACATTCCTCTTATAAGAAGATATATTATCTGCCTAAAAACGGGTCAATTCGAAAATAAACATTGTGGACGCAACGATGTGGTGGATTAACTTTTTTTCTTAACAATACCATCGATATGGATATCACATAAAAGGATTTGAGGTGTAGAAAGAGAAATAAGTTAAGTGTGTTAGTTCCAAACTGAATGCCACGTACATCGCGACATAGTGGACTGAACTTTTCATCACAATATCAGGCTATTAGGATATGGGTATCAAATAAAAGGACGTGGAGAGTAGAATGCGACGAGCTAAGTGTGTTAATCCTAAATTAATTATTGTGGACTTAAAAGTATATTTTAGTGAACTAAAAGATCGAAATTACATTTTATCCCCTAAACCTTTTTTTTTTAACTATAAATAAAAGCACGAGCCGCCAAAGGTTTTAATGGTAGGCGATATGCGAGATTCGAGCTCAGCCGATTATAACTTTTTTACTTGTTAAACTTTAAGCTAATTTATCGTGAAACATCTAAACTTTAATATTAACGCAATTAACCAGCCGTCCGTCTAATGTATATTGAGTGATTTATGTTAAATGGAACGCTCTTTGCATTTATTACATGACAAGGTGTTAAAAACTTGAACAAAAAATATTTTTGAAATTGAAAGGCGAGACTGTAATAAATGTTTTAATGAAATTTGCTTCGTTTTTTCAAAAATGAAATATGATAAATAAATTCTCAATTAAAATGTGCAAATTAAACTAAAAAAAAAAAGATAAATTCGATTCCATGATTCGATTAAAGTTGTTTGAAGGATTCCGCAATGAAGAAGCATAAATATATGTTATTATCTATCGAATTGCAAAGCAATAGTCTCACTCTTTGTCAGGCCTTGAAAGCCCAGTTGTTCTATTTACAAGTAAAGATTTACATAAAGAGTTACATAATTTGTGTATGTAAAGAGCATAGATCGTATGTTAAGTTCAACATGAGCCTGAGTTGCCGAGTAAGCCAAGCAACCCGACTAACAATTCAATGGTCGTGGGTTCAAATCTCATGTGCTGGAGGATTGCAATAAAGCTGCTAGCCTTGCATGCGTTAGTGTGTCTGACTAGATTAGTAATAATAATAATAACAATCATATTTGTGGTTATATATGGCATTTTGCGATAAGATATCGTGGCGAGTGAATCTGAATGAATGAGATTAAGTTTTATGTTCCTTTTCCTGCAATCTAATGTTTTTGGAAAAAAGAACACCTTGCAGTCTAACCTTGCTATACTAGGGGCATGACTTGCCCATTTTCAATAACATATTTTCTTATTCCATCTGATTTGGATCGAACCATTGCTTGGTATGTTTCGATTCGAAAAGCCATCCATGAATTCTTATTATTAATAATTATTATATCCTACGATGTTTCAGAAACGTACTTCCGGACTTGTATAAATTACAAAAATTTATTTACCCTCGGAAGTAGAACATAAATCGTATAAAGTTTGATTATTAACATTTTTATAGAGCCATTAATGTTATCATAAAAGCATTTCATAGCCATTGGGCATGATATCTGCGCAGCAGCAGACATTGTTCTAATGGAACAATGTAAGCTTGCTTGCGGTTGTATCGCCGCTTATATCGATGGAAATTTGCATAAAGCAAATGCACATTGATTAATGTTGATTTTTAATGATCTTAAGAGAAAAGATTTTATCTCATTTTTCACAAGACTTGTGTTAATAGTCAAAGTTTATTATTGTTAAAGGCGTTATATGAAATATAAAATTATAAGAAATATACACTGTAAGGCCATGGAAATAGACAAAATGGGAATTGGGATTAATTAAATACAGAAACGAGAATGATCATCACTCTGTCGCGAATGTGTGCAGGAAATAAAAACAACTCCCTGAGAATATTCATTTAATATTATTTTTTGGTCATAGTTTCACAATTCGCGATTTAAAAATGAAGTAAAAGGTTACAATGGCCTTCGGCCCATAATTGAATAGCCTACACCAACCTACAGTTATATAACGATATTTGAAAATAAGCCGATATATGGGAAGCCGGCCGAACCCTTTTCAATAGAATTCTTCCTCGGGGGAAATTCCACCAAAATATCGCAATAACTGCAATCTCTTCTTTGAACACAAGAAAATGAAGCAGGCAGACAGACGGACAGACAAGCTTAATTCGATTCAGAAATTGAATTTGAATCGGTTGCTATTATAAGAGAGTGATGCGTATATCCGGACAAACTTAATACACTCTTGTACCACAACTGGTGTACGGTATGAAAAGGGAAGAAGAAATTTTTATTAGGCTCCCTTTATTTTATGTAGATCGACATTAAATGCTTGGCAACTATATACGAAATTTATTTTGTTATAGGTGTAAGGATCGTAAACCTCTTCAAACTTGGTCTGTCAAATCTAATTTGACCATCGTCATGTTATAAGGTTATTTGGTTTTTTATTAAAGCACTTCTTAGTCGAATTCTACTATATTTGGTTGGAAAGGTTCACCTTAACGTCCGATTTCCGAATGAAAACTGCCTCAGTCCGTCTAATGGTAATTAACGAATTGTAGCAAAAATTCCAGTTAAGTAAATAGAATCAAAACTAATTTTTAGTGTTTTGCGGAGCAAAGCCCTGTTAGGCATATTTTTTGGAGAATATTTTGAAGAAGTGGGTGCGATAAACCGCTGGGCGCCAGTAATTAAGATAAAGCTAAGTGGAACGTTACACTTACTTCATTTAAAATGTAGACTAAATAGATATATAAATGATTGTAAAACCAAAAAAACTATAGTGTAAGATCTAGGCAACCATCGGTTTGCAATGTTATACACCTGCATATTCGCAACGAAAATATGTAAATGTTAATTACGAAAACGACTTTGATCGCTCAGTTGTCAACTGATAAAATACGCGGCGATTTTTTTTATAAGATCGTATTGGATATCGCAGGTTTATCTCAAGACGATCAAAACTATCTTACGTATGTATTTATCTCTTCTAACGCGGATATGCTTTTATGGTAGATTTGCGCAAGGGTTTCACAAAACTTGTGTTTGTATTTTCGATGAATTTTGTTGTAGTTAAAGCGACATGTAAATCGTGTCGTGTACACACGTCACGTTTATAGCTTTCTATTGTTGAACTTTTATGACCTTAAGAATTCCAAAGGAGCACGATTTGAAAGTTGTACCTTTCAAGGCCTTTGATGGCGAAACCTTTGCATAAATCAATGTGTCCATCAATGGATGGGTTTGAATTTTCATTACGAATGATTTCTCTAATTCTACTTCTTGATAACCATAAAACCTTTAAATTTTAGTTAAAGCATTTCACAAGATAGCTTAACGCAAACGTCATAAAATAGGTATTTTTTTTGCTGTACCGTCTATCGGCACAATTAACAAATTGTGTCAACAATTTTCGAAAATTTGTTTTATGGATTTTATAAATACTGCTTTGCTTGTCCACTTCTCTGTCATAAATCTTTATTTAATATAATCACGTACAGCTGGACATGTATAGATTTTAGTATCCTTTTTTGCTTTTACTTTAGTTGATTGTTTGCTGATGCATTGTATGCAACTGAAAAGTGTGTTCAGTTCATAAAATTATAGCGATACAATTAATTGAAAGTAAAATCACATGAATAAATAGTGCAACGGCATTGAGTTCAATACAAAAAAAAAAAAAAAACAAAAGAAAAAGAAAAAAAAAAAGAACGAAACAAAACATGAGAAAACATTTTCTGATGTCGTTTCTATATTGAAAAGCATTTCAACACGACTTGAAAATTGCAATAGTTTCGATAACCAGAAAAACTGAACTGAAATACATAGTAGAGATCGGTTTTGTCTTAGGAACCATGTCAATCAAATATTAAAACGAGAAAAAAAGTATCTTTTTTCTTATGATCAATAGCGCAGCAACGAACAACACAGATGCGGCTGAAAAACACTTTTATTCAATTTTCAATAATTGATATTACATTTTGTTGACAATTTGAGGTTTGGACGTCGCATACCATGAATTTTGAACGCTAAAGCTCAAACTACATAAAGAACTAATAGTGATCGGGTGAGCAACTCCTGCTCATATTATATTCATTCTTTCGTCACGTTTGTGATTTGTATACCTATAGTATAGCAATCACGTTAGCTCTTAGTTGACAGCCTTAAAGCTTAACAAAGTAAATCGTTCTCCCACAATACTTGGAAAGAAAATGAAAAACCAAAAAAAAAAAATCTAAAACAAAAATTTCCAAATATTACGTAACACTTGCAGAAGGCATGGATTTAAAATTTCGTGTCACTATTTATCAAGATTTTCTTAAACAACAGTAAATGATTGACGCTTGCAATTAAAGGAAGAATACCTTGTGATTATTATATAATGGCTTAAAGACATGTTTACGGGGTATCTAAATTTCGTTTTAAGACAAACATAACTTTTTCATTTGGCATTTTTTCGTATCGTTGTCGTTGTTGTTAACAGTAACTTTCAATTTGCACTGGTCATTGGTGCGCATGCGTACGTTTTGCCAGAATGTGCTCCACAGAGGCATATGTATGAATATACATCCACGTATACTTGTGTAAAGCCATGTGCATTGGCGGCTTAGTTAGTTATGAATTTTTATATTACATGTGCTTCAAGTCTTTTGTAATAATTTTAGTTCGTACTCTCGCACTGAACCGGCAGACAAAATGCAGGCACGCAAACTTCTTAATAATTGCGTCGTAATTGATGAATTCATTTAAGAACAAATAGTTCATGGAAACCCGTGGAAATACCACTCTAAGCTTAAGGTCGCTTAAAACCATTAAAATTCTTTACTTATTTCCCTTTTAGTGTTTGTGTAAAAAAAAAAAGCAAGAAAAAAACCCACTTTTTCAACACCTAATCATGTCTTGTTAAGCTTTCTGTGAATTGTTTGCGCATTTTTTCTGTTTTTTGTTTTTGTTTTTTTGCCGGACGTTATAACATTTTTCAAATGCTTTTCAAGCGTTTGTCTCCTAAGAGAACAAATTCTACTAAACTGAATTTGGGGTTGTTCGTACATGCTAAACACTTTATCAAGTTTTTACGATAAAATATGCTTAGCACATATATCGTGTTAATCGTTTTTTACCATATTTGCACAATATCCTAATAGTCGTACAAAGTACTTGCATTTTAGTTAATTACAATTCTTAAGTTAAAGTTGCATGTTTAAGTAAAAAGTGTGCCACTAAAATACATTGTAAAATTAAAATGCGAAAATATTACTTGTTTTGTGTTGCGTACCTTGGATATCTCGAATATGCTCGACCACATAGGGTCTCTCAGACATAGTTCTAATTATTTCACGTTGCATGAAGTGACAACAATAACGACAACAACAGCAGCAGCATAAAATTTGCGCTACTTGAAAGTATGCCTATGATATGTTAAAGCCACCAAATTTTTTTTGCTTGCAGTAGGCGGACTGGTTTTTCTCTGATAAAAAATTATTTGTTGATTTTATGTTTTAAAGTTTTAATGCAGAATTTTACTTCGTCGTCTATCTATTATATTTTAGAAATTAAACAAGTTCTATGAAAAAAAATGTTGCGGTTAGCAAGGGGTACATTCATTGATAGCAATTAAAAATATACAAAATGGTGTATGGCTTTAGACATGCAGAGAAGTCCCATTCCGTTTTGAGCTGTTCGTCAGACGTTTTCTAGTAATTGTTTACAAAGTTCCTTGAGGTTTTCTTGTCGCATATTAAATAAATTGTTTAACTTAACCCTGGTTCGATAGTGAGTTGTTTAATATGTTCGAGTAGCTATCCAACTCTTTGTTTACACGCTCTTTTTTGCATGTTTTGAAACAACACGGTTCACCAATATATTTTTTTTGCACGAATTTTTTGCTCTGTCGCGAATCCAAAAAAAAACAACAGTTTTTTTCAATACTATTTTTGACAGTGCCTCACGGAAACTTATGTGCGCAGAAGCAAAATACAATTGAGGGAACGCTGTAATCAGAAGTCAATCGGCTTAAGCCGATACATGTGCTACTGTCATGTGTTATGTAGGGTATGGAATTTCAATTTAAATTTTTATATGTGTCCTGTAATTAAAATAATTTTATTCTATTTTCATTAAATGCAATATGGATTTCATTATAATTTTTTTTGCACGGTTTTCTGGGAAAATAATATTTCCTCAAATTTACCGTAAGTTGCATATATTTTTTACACGATTTTTTTGCACGGGTTCCTAAAGAAGGCATCTCCGTATAAAAAAAAGAGTTGAATGTATTCACATTAACTTTCCACTCAGCAATTTGCATAACATGTGATCTTAACCTCTATCATTGATGACAATTAGGCAACCACATCAGAAAGGGCTTTATTTTCCTTCGCAGATCCTTTACGTTCTACTAAATCACCAAAAAAAAGCAAGGAAGCTCCCTTCTTATGTGCGCTCACCCTGTCAAGGCTTTCGTGGAATTTCGTCTCCGAATTAAGCTCCTTTCATTCGGCGTTATGTTGAAATATATATACTAACTAAGTTCACTTGGTGTTTCTCTCTCCGAAGAAACCGATTCAAATATTCCGCAATTTCAAAAAATTTGTTTAAAATAGTACTCATAGGAACAGAGTTAAGCCATTAATATTGTTAAAATAACTGTTCAGTCAAGACTTTGGTGGATTTCACTTTGTGACTGAAGCTCACTTCATTTGACATTATGTCGAAAATATCTGCAAATTACCTTCATTGTGAGTGTGCCTTTCTCTACAAAGAAGAACACAGGCAGTCCACAATTTTAAAATATTAATATCATTAAGATAGCTTTTCAGTTTGCCAGGATAACGGTTATGTTCTAAATAAGGACTTTTATTGGATATGTAGATGTGTGGATAATAAGTTTATTTGAATTTTTTCATACGAATGCTATCGCTATCGGGAGGTATTTGAAAGGGGAATAGCATCTTTCATAATATTCCGATTCCATTCTGTAACCGTTGCCTGGTAAAATTATTGCTAACTTCGCGAACGTGTTGTCATTTAATGTTTATAAAAATCAGCTGAATATAAAAAATTTCATTCACTTCAACATAAGTAATTCAGTGTATGAAAGTCTTTTGAAATGAATAGTTTGAGTATTCATCAAGGTTATGTGTCTCCGCTTAGCACTCGCTATGCTAGCAAGGATATGCAATATTTGTTTAGCGATCAGCATAAATTCTCCACATGGAGACAATTATGGATATGGCTGGCCCAAGCTGAAAGGGTATTTATTGCAATAAATCATTTGTTGGTTTCCGTAAATAAGTGTCCAATTGTAACAGTCATTAGGTTTAGATATCAGTGAGGAGCAAATTGTTGAAATGAAAGCTCACATGGAAGATGTGAATTTTAAGGCAGCGGCGGACGAAGAGCGTCTCACACGTCACGATGTGATGGCTCACGTTCATGTGTTCGCCAAGCAATGCCCTAAGGCGGCTCCCATTATACATTTAGGTGCTACGTCATGTTATGTCGGGGACAATACGGATTTGCTAATTTTGCGTGCTGCTTTGGATATGTTATTGCCACGTGTTGCTACAGTAATATATTGCTTGAAAGAGTTTGCCATGAAGTACAAAGACCAGCCCACTTTAGGTTATACCCATTTGCAACCAGCTCAATTGACCACGGTCGGTAAACGTGCATGTCTGTGGATTCAAGATCTGCTGATGGATGAGCGCGCTTTGCGCCGTTGCCGCGATGATTTGCGATTTAGAGGGGTTAAAGGTACCACGGGAACGCAAGCATCGTTTTTACAGTTGTTTAACGGCGATGGTACAAAAGTAAAACAATTGGATATGTTAGTTACCAAGTTGGCAGGTTTTACGAAAACTTATCCTGTGACGGGCCAAACATATTCGCGAAAAGTAGATGTGGAAATAATGGCTGCCTTAGCCAGTCTGGGAACAAGCATTCATAAAATGTGCTCCGATATTAGAATATTGGCTTCAAATAAAGAATTAGAGGAGCCATTTGAAACCACTCAAATTGGATCTTCTGCCATGCCGTACAAACGCAATCCTATGCGCTCTGAACGGTGTTGTTCGTTAGCGCGCCATTTGGTTAGCTTGTATATGAACGCGGCTAATACGCATTGCACGCAATGGCTAGAACGAACTCTAGATGATTCGGCTAACCGTCGTCTTACTCTCTCGGAGGGATTTCTGGCTGCCGATGCAGCGTTACTGACACTGCTTAATGTTTCTCAAGGTCTTGTGGTCTATCCGAAGGTAATTGAACGCCATATTGGTGCAGAATTACCCTTCATGTCGGCTGAAAATATTATTATGGCAATGGTAAAGAAAGGTGAAGACCGTCAAGAATGTCACGAGAAAATTCGTGTACTTTCTCAAGAGGCGGCCGCTCAGGTTAAACAACACGGGAAGGACAACGATTTAGTACAACGCGTGCGAAATGATTCTTATTTCAAACCTATTTTAAATGAATTGGATAAGATATTGGACGCCCGGACATTCACTGGTCGAGCCAGTAGTCAAGTAGAGGAATTCATCAATGAGGAGGTTGATTGCATTTTAGAGCGTTACAGAGAAACTATAAACAACATTCAAAGTGTTCAGCTCAATATATAAAAGAGCGAAAATGTAATTTGATTATTGAGATAATGTTGCCTTTTTACATTTTGTAAGAACTAAAGTTTGCTTTTCTTTCATTTTTTTTTGCTTTAAATAAAATCCAATATGAAAACAGGATCTCTTTCTATCTATTTATTTGTTTATTATGCATCGTATAGCAACAACAAAATATTTCAAGCAGCGCCTGTTATCAAATTCTGTAAATTGTAACAAAAAAATAGCACAGAAAAGTATTCAACTCACACTTGTAAACATGTTACTTATCAATTTCATTGAGATCCGGGGTTATCATATATGTGATAATATTGAAGAAATACAAACCAACAGTGGCAGACAATAGATTATAAATAAAAATGCAATCGATCGGATCGGGGCAAAATGAAAAATGAATGACATTCATTAAGCGTATTCGCATACATATCAGGCAGCTTCTACCCCCGTTGAATGGAAATTAAATTTGCTTTATGGTCTTTATTCAAAAGCTTATAAAAAATAAGTTGACACATCACGATTCGAGTTCATGTTTGTCGTATTTGCTCCATATGCACCAACATGCATAACTAATTTGCTTTTTATTCTTTGTTTACCAACGTACCACACAACCAACTCTCTGTTCGACGTTGCTTAGCAATTTTAAAACCCATTGTAAACAAAGGTTATATCGATAGACTGGCTTATTTATCTCACCAAGCTAACACCGATATGTCTGGCTTACACTAAGCAGTACGGTGTACGGTGTGTAAATAATTTTTAAGCTTGTATTTGTTCAGTAACTTCAATAGCTACTAGATATGGTAAAAATAGTTCGATAGGATTTTAATATTAACGAGAAAAAAAAATGCATCAAACTTGTACACATGTGCACAAGCATAAATATGCGGTTATAAGCGTAAGTGCATAAGAAGTAAGTTTTTTTCCTGCCTAAGATAATATGCATTCCCCTATGAAAACTTGGCCATCTGTCCTATCATTTAGTGACCTATTTACATGCAAACCATTCCCGTATGAAGTGTGGCTTGGTAGCGGGGAGAAAAATATTATATAACATCGAAACAATATTTCGTGATCTAAAAAATATTGAGCGTAGTAATAATAAAAATAAGGTTAACTACTACCAAGCCAGCAAGAGTATAAACAAAAAATGAAATGATTATTGGGTTATATGCTCGCGTTTCTTTTTTTCTTTACATTTGGCAAATTCTTTCGTAAACTTTAGAATATATCTGCGAATTTAAGCATCTTAGCGTAGAGTCAGAGTAAGTTCATTTCCATGCCTTTAGGCATTCGTGTCTTTTGCGTTGTTTTAAAATGATTTTTGTATTCAAATAACCTATTGAGGAATGCTTAGCTTATAAAAGATAATAAAATTATGGGAAAATAATAAAAAAATTATTTAAACATTGCAAGAACTTAACAAATCCTTGACGTATAACATGCGAGCAGTTGCTTTTTTGTTATTTACACTTTATTAACAAATACAATTAAAGCCAACTATGGAAAGTGTTTGTCTATAGGTAAAGTACAGTAGGTAAACACCAAAGCCATAATTCATGGCAACATTCTTGTAAGAAGCAATATATGTTTGCGTTAACACAAACTAACCCAAATAAATCCTTCTAAGACCTTCTACAGGTGTGTTGCAATGAGTTATACACGGAATGGCGAATTCTCAAGCGATGAGAACTACAGCCGATAGCGCGATAAAATATGGAGTGCTTATGCCCAATAGGAACTTGTACCTTAATACGTACAGATAATAAAGAAAGTCAAAAAATATTGAGCCTAATAATGACTATATTCGTGCTTTGTTGTCGATGTGATTCTATATAGCTGAGTGAAAATTCGAGTTCGTGTTGGAATTCGAACGTCTGAAATGTGGACTATATGGATTTTTAAAACATATTAGAAAAACGTGTAAGCTTTGAGGGAAAGTTACAATTGCATCCATCCCTGTGAATATTTTGAATACTTAGCAGTAGGAGTATATTAAGTGCGGACATATGTGATGCCTAGAAGAATTTAAGATAAATCCAATTTATTAAATCTGTTTTTCTTGTTTGTGTACGTTCAACCTTCAGATCTCAATTTTGGAGATAGTTGAGATTGAACGACGAACGCTATCGGTGCGGACTGGACCACTTTTTTGATCACTTTCCAAATAATGCTTTGTTTTGAAAAGTCGTTACATGTATAACTGACATGTTGGACCGTGTTTCACTATAGTGTTTTTGTTAGTTATGTTATTGAAAATGTGAACTTTCAGGCGACTCGAATAAATATTTTATCCAAATGTTAGATCGATGTCTCTTGCAAGGCTTTATAGCGGACATTTTCAAAATGGTTTTATAAGACCTTTCCATTCTCTTAACTTTCCCAAATGGTTCGCAGCATTGATTAATTGAGAAGATTTCCTTATTGATGTCGATAACAAAAGTGCTGAGCAAACAAAAACGAGGGAATTTCTCGCTATTTACGAAAATCTTTTAAAACCTGCGATACGTAACCATCTCGTTCAATATTCGTTGTCACGAAGAGAAGGGTGATATTAATATACCATCGTATTTGGAGTTTTTGTCATTAAATTCAACTTTAATTGCTTATCAGAGCAAATCCTAAAATGTCGCCGAACCGAAATTAAAGGTACACATAATCTTCATTTCTTTGTTTTTTGCTTTATTAAGATTTTTCACATAATTACAGATCTACGATATAATAAAATAATTGCAAAAGCATATATGCACACAGGCATGTTTGCATCGCCATGATACTAACATATATACAGTGCAGAGATTTGCATTTGCAGACATACGTGAAATACGAATGTCACCATAAATCTCGTCAAATGCCGGAGGTGCAAAATAGGCGGATGTGAATGGATAAAATATAAATATCAAGTAGTTTGTTTGCTTTTCCCCATTTCATTTCAAGAAATGGTTTCAATTATTTCAGCAATAATTATGTGCGGTGCACACAGGCGCTAAGAAAAGTTTTCATGATGAACAAAAGTTTTAACATGAAATGTTCACCGGATGACTACATCTCAGCGAATATATCGCTTTTTTTTATTATAGACGATAAAGTTCTCGCCCTAATGTCTCTCTTATCATTCAAGTAATATTTTCGTAGCGGGATACTTGCGCATGCGTTTTTAGTTTATAGCTAAAGACAACAATACTTATGAATAAACATTCGCGTTGGCATAAAAACGACCCTCCCGGGTGGTCAATGCTTCTATCACCTCATTTCAATAGTTTTGCGCTCGACGATACCAAACCGGGAATCGCCTTATGGTGAAGGGGCTTTCTTCTGCACAATCTCACATAAATTTTGGGAGCCCGTAACGAAAACACTCAAAGAAGCAGCAAAGACTTAAAGGAATTTTTCGAAAAAACATAAAAGTAACAATAAACATAAATTAATTTCTTTTATATTAAATAATATATGAATGTGATCATCGTCTTCTGTATCAGCAATAAATAGCGCAGGCAAAGCCTGCAGATGTATAATTCTGAACGAATTCTACCAATTTTGACCGATTTGGAATTCTACTTGATATAGTCATGTCCGTCTGTCCGTCTGTCCGCCCGTCCGTGCCATTACAATTACAATGCAAACAACATTGGAAGTTTTTGCCCATTGGAAAGGAATTTAATCCGTTCACCAATACCCCAAAAAAACAAAAATAAAAAAGGACTAAAGTGATGGGATCTAAAATGTAAGAAATCTCAAGACATTTTTGATTTAAAGTTAAAAAGTCAATGGTGAAAATCGTCTTCTTCATTGGGTGGAATGGGTCTTTGCTTCCTTATTTATGTACTTCTGATAATAAAATAAAGTTTATGAATGAATCTGTTTTTCCTTAATAAATGAAAGATAATGAAAACTGTTGTTGTTGCCTGTACAAATTGAAAATAACAAACGTTAAAATGCCTGATTTTTAAACCGCTTTACCGCTTAAGCTAACATTTTTCGCGCACTTATCAAGCAATTACTACTATGTGGATGTACATCTACTGTTAAAGTAGTTGGTTAGGCGCGAATATGTTTTGCAAAACATGTTTAGCATGTTCAGCAGCGTAATAATAACATAAAGAGAGGATATAAAAAAAAAAAAAATAAAAAAAAAAGTAATATTTGAATGGCAAGTTCAAAATATTGTTGTTATCACATTTCCATCTACAGGAACAAATAATAATAACATTAATGCTTTATTTGTAAATCAAAATCATCGGTAGCAACATGCTCCTGCTCAACGTTAAAGTGAGTAAAAATATCTTGCATTTATCTGATTACTTGTCCACTTGTAATTATGGGCAAGAAAACCTTCCTTTTTTTTATTGTAATTAAACATTAACTAACTTTTTATGTGTGTTGTACTATAGACAAATGAATACACATACACACAGATGCAAACACACACACGCATACATTTTTAATCAGTTTCAGGTTGCCGCCCTACATGTCCATCAACTATATTTGTCCGAGACAAAAAGCGAAAAAAAGAAAGAAAAAAAAACATTTGCTAGTTACCAGCTATACGGTAAACTTTGTTGTAATTTTTTACTTATTTGAACATTTTTTTTCTTAATATCTTTATAGCTTTGTTTTTCCTCAATGCTTTACTTATTTGAGATGCTTGTTTCTCGTCATGTTTAGTAAAACAACCTTCTCATGCCAGCTGGTTACGCCTGTAACCGGTATCTCGTCCGATAATAATAAACAAAATCATTAACGCTATTGTAATCGATCTATAGTTGATGCCATGTCGATCGATTTATCCATAACTCGTTGCATTTTGTTCGAAGCCAAATTGTCTGCAAGAGCCTTGAGCTTGATTTGAAATAATAATAATTTGTTATATAAGTATGTCTGCTTCCGAATATTTTGTTTCGATGTGCATACACATATACGCATTTAAGTAAAATTAAATTAATTGCTTTTAACATTCTATATACATGCTTTACTCTTTACTAAGCATTAAACATTAATCGATTAATTAATCTTAAGTCTTAACATTACGAAGCCAATTAAATAGTCAATTAAAATAGCAGTCCACATAACCAAATGTACATATATATATATATATATATCATAACAATCTGAGCATTTTTCATTAATAATTTC